CCCCAACCCCCCAACCCCCCAACCGAAACTTCTCTGTTCAAAGTTTTCTTTGCGGCTTCGGGGAGATCTCGGTGAGCGCAGTCCAACCATGTTTTCAAAAAATAAAAATAAAAAATTTTGACCCACTTTTGGACCCAACCGGAATTCCGGTTGGACCACTGGGGGTCCAACCGGCCCGGTTGCCGGCACAGCCATCCTTTTTAGTTCGCTTAACTGAACACCAGCCACGCCAAAGTTGTGAATCGTAAGAATCATAACAGCAGTGACACTTTCCTGCGAGCATAACAACGGGACCGTGCAGGTCATGGAATAGATAGGTGTTAGATAGTCAAAATGCACATCTGTGTGACATCTTTGAGTGACTTCTGGGTCACTCTGGGTCACTCAAAAGATAGGTGTTAGATAGTCAAAATGCACATCTGTGTGACATCTTTGAGTGACTTCTGAGTCACTGAATACATAGGTGTTAGATAGTCAAAACGCATATCTGTGTGACATCTTTGAGTGACTTCTGAGTCACTGAATAGATATGTGTTAGATAGTCAAAATGCACATCTGTATGACATTATTGAGTGACTTCTGAGTCACTGAATAGATAGGTGTTAGATAGTCAAAATTCACAAATTGTTCAAGTTCAAACCCAAGGCCTTAAGAGTCGTTAAGCCTGTTATAGCATTTAGCTCAAAAAATGTACCAGTCAGTGTGGTGACTAATCTATAAGTGACATCTTTGAGTGACTTCGATATCATTGTGTGACATCTAGCTTTGACGATATCTGTGTGAGACAGTATGACATCATGTGGCACATGTCTGTGTGACATCTATATCATTTGTCGATTTGTGACATCCATATCATGCGTGACATCCATATCATGGGGTACATCTTTGTACGACATCTATGTGTGACAACTTTGTGCGACATCTATGTGCGACATCTATGTGTGCCATCTTTATGTAACACCAGGGGACCTGTTGCGGCTACGCCCGCAATAAAAATGGAATGTTTGCCAAGAAGTTGGACTCTCTCTCTCTCTCTCTCTCTCTCTCTCTCTCTCTC